ATAAAGAATGAGAAATTAGATTCATCCATAGGAAAATGGATACATATTGAGGATATACTAAGTGAAATAAATAAGTACCACATGTGTAAATACCAAATAGTTTCTCTGGTGTGAATAAACTGTAATAGTACATAAGATCCTAATGAGATAACTGACATTGTGAAATGGGAAGAAAAGGACTAAAGGTGTAGGGAAGGTGGGATGGGTAGGGGAAGGGTAATAAGGGAAAAGAAAAAACGTGAGATAATGAAAAGATGAAAATAAAGTGTTTGTAGATGTGAAGGGGAAGAGGGGGTGAAGGGAGGGCAGAGACAAGGGGAAAAAATGAGAACCAAGACCTGTCATGTAGAGGTATAAGACCCCAACAATGAATGTAACTGTACTGTATCCCTAAAATGTACCAATAAACTCAATTAAATTTTTTAAAAAAACAACAACAGGATTCTCTTTGCGCACCTCTTATCTCCACTATGTTGGCTACTTTCTATCTTTCACACAGGTGGGAAAGTCATCATCATCTCTGCACTCACAACCTTATAGTTGCTGGGCCATAGAGGAAGTGTGCCCAGTTGAAAAACATTGAGGCATTTAGGGTAAGAGGTTTATTACAAAGAACTGGTTCACGCAATTTCAGAGACTGAGAAATCCCAAGATCTACAGTCAGTAAGCCAGAGGCCCAGGAAAGCTCATGTTGTAATTTCCAGTCTGAGCACAGGCAGACTCCAAATACAAAAAGAAAAGCTGATACTTCAGTTTGGGTCCAACGGCAAGAAAAGACCAATGTCCCAGCTCAACCAGTCATACAGGAGGAGTTCCCCCTCACTCAGCTTTTTTGTTCACCCAGTCTGTCACCCTCACATCAGGGAGGGCATCCACCATAGATTCAAATGTATACTTCAACCAAAAATACCTTCACAGACTGAGCTAGTCAGACTTCTGTCACTGTGATAAAATATCTGAGATAAATTAGTTTATAAGAAGCAAAGGTTTGAGCCACACATGATGGCACATGCCTGTAATCTCAGAACTCGGGAAACTGAGGTAAGAGGATTCCCATGAGTTTGAGGCCAAAATGGGCTACATATGAGTTCAAGCCCAGCCTGAACTCATACTTAGCATGTACTTAGCATGACCCTGGAGAGAGGGTAGGGGAACTATTTAATTTGACTCAGTTTCAGAGGGCTCAGTCCATGGGAGCTTTGTCTGATTCCTTGGGGCCTGTGGCAGCACAGTAACTGTGGCAGGAGTGTGTGGCAAAGTAAGAGTGTTTATCTCACAGTATCCAAGTAGTAGAGTGATAGGAGGGGCCAGGGTCCCACAGTACCCCTCAAGGACACATACCCAAGGTGACCTAATTTCCTTCTACTAGGCCACACCTCCTAAAGGTTCTAACACCTCCCAGTGGTGCCATAGGCTGGCAACTAAGCCTTCAACCCAAGCCTTTGGAGGACACTTCAGATCCAAACTATAGCCCGTGCATACCCAGAATAACATTTGACCAAATATCTGAGTACAAGTTGACCGAAATGCCTGAATCATGATAATGTAACTGGAATCACACAGAGCAGGGATCATATAACATCTTACTCCTAGAGTTGAGACTGTAGTATGTAAAGCAAAGACCACCCCAATGGCCAGTTTGGAAAGAGTTATTTTTCCAATAGTTTGTTTTATCTCCTAGAAACCTAACAATGTTGTTCTGACTCCATGAAAAATAGGTATTTTGGCTATAGCTGAAGGAGATTCATTCACACTCCACAGAGATCTTTGGGATGAACTTCAGGGTTTGGTTGTAATCTCAGATAATGAGCTCTAGCTTTGCATGTGGCTGCCAGGATAAAGTACTAGTTTCCTGATTCACTAAGAATATGCAAGGCTCTTCAACATTAAGTAGAGGTGGCTACATAAGTCATTTTTACTTGAAAGCTACTGAATTAGAATGAAAAACAAGATCATAATAAAACTCAATTTGAAACAATGCTAAGAAAAAGGAATGGTAAAAACTTGTCTGCTGCTAAAGTTGCCCAAATTAACACCTATATATTAGATTGGAATTTGTGTGCAAATACCTGTGTTCCTTCTGATTTGGAGCATTTGGGATCTGAAAAAACATTTAATGTTTCACAAACTGTTGTGCATCCTTCTCTCCAAACAGTCCTGACAACACTAGCCTTTGTACCTTTTTAATCACTTGCTCTTTAGTCAGGAAACAAGGAACAAATAGGATAAATGATCTCGTGTTTGTCCAGTTTGTCCAGCGAGGGTTCTAACCTCAAGTTTATCCAGCCACCCTCCCGCTCAGAACTTTCTAGTAGCTTCCCATTGCCCACAAGGGATATCCAGACACCCTTCCAGGGCCTGTAGCCCTCTGGAGTCTCACCTCTGCTGCCTTGTCTAGCTTTGCTGGCCATGCCTCTTCTGTCACTTGAGGTCCTGAAGAACCAAGTGAAGAGCCAGGAATGGACTGGAAAGTATCAGGATCAGGCATTGCTCACATTTCTCCTACTTCAGCCTATAAAGATTATTGACAGGGTTGGGGATTTAGCTGCCACCTGCCTTACAAGCACAAGGTCCTGAGTTTGAATCCCAGTACCAAGAAAAAAAAGTATTGACAGTGTTTCCAAGTTGCTGGTTCCAGGTCACGTGTCACTTTCTAGAAAGGCTGCCTGACTCTCACTGAGGCCTCCTGGGAAGAGATGGTCACTTCCCTCATGTCATGTCACCAGTTCGCATTCATGAATCTGAAGACTCTATGGTACTTTCTCACACCCTAGAGTGCCTCCGAGACTGTGGTGAGCTCAAGGTCTGCAGAATGTTCATTCAAAAAAGTGTAGTGAACCAAACAACTAAACAGTAATTTATTGCACATGCAGAGGGTCTATTCTTTTTATCATTTAATTGTGGTAAAATGCAATGTAACAAAATTTACAAGCTCAATCATTTTTAAGTGTTTGGTTCAGTGGCATGAAGTACATTTACATTGTTGTACCACCACCATGCATTTTTCAGAACCCATATTGTTTCCATTACACAATATCATTCCCCATTCACTCTCTTATCTCAATTACTGGAAGTTGCCATTTTACTTTTTCTATGAATTTGACTTCTCTAGCTATCTCATGTAAGTGGAAACATGAAAATTTTACCCTCTTGTGAGTGGCTTATTTCACACAGTATAATGTTCACCCATGTTGCAGCATGTGGCCAAATATCCTTCCTTTGCAGAATGAGTAATATTTTATTGTATGCTTATGCTCAATTTTGTGTGTCTATCCATCTACCAGTAGACACATGGGTTGCATCCACCACCTTGCTATTAAAGAAAAATTGTGTTATTTTAAAGTATGAAGTTTTTGGTAATTTATTACAATGGCAATAAAAATACAATAGTCTATTAGAAAAATAAATAAAAGGCATGAACAAATTATTTAACAGAAAAGAAAATAAGTGGGCCAGTATGAAGATAGAGTCAACATCACCAGTTGTCTTAATCAACTTGGACTGCGATAACAAAATACCCAAAGGATGAGTGGTTTAAATAACAAAAGTTTATGCATTTATTTCTCACAGTTCTAGAGATTACAAGGTGAAGTACACCAGGTTGAGTTCTGGTGACTGCTTTCCTGGCTTATAAATAGCTGCCTAGAAATGGCCTTTACTTGGTAGTGGTTGGAGGGACAGTAAGATAGTGATCTTCATATAAGGGCACTAATCCTGTCCAGGGTTCTGTCTCAAGACTTCATCTAAACCTAATCACTCTCCAAAAGCCCATCTCTAAATACCATCACACTGGGGATTATGGCTTTGGAATATGAATACAGAGAAAACACAATTTAGTCTTTAGCATTTTACCTCAGCTCTACAAAATCCATGTTCTTACTACATGTTAAATACATTTGTTCTATCCCAATGCACCAAAATTTTAATTCATTCTGCCATCAATGCTAAAGTCTAAAATCTAAAGTCTAAATCTAAAGTCTCATCTAAACCAAATATAGGTGAGAGTGGAGGTCTGATGCAGAAGAATTATTCTCCAGGTGTGAACCTTTTAAAACCAGAAAAACCATGTGCTTGCAAAATACAATGGTGGGAAAGGCATGGGACAGACTTTCCCATTCCTAAAGGGAAAAATAGGAAAGAATGAAGGAGTGACAGGTCCCAGTGAGCAAAAGCCTGGACTATGATGATTTGTTATGGTAGCTTGAGCTAATGAAGCCATCAGTTATTGAGGAAATACAAATGAAGACCTAGTGAAATTCCATTTTACTTGGCCAAGTAATTGGAAAAAATAATAATCCTCTCATTAACAAGTCTGGAGAGGAAAAGAGGTTTCAGGTGAAGGAGAGATTGTGCATACAGTCCTGAGAAGGGAGGACAGGAATTTGGTATAGACACAATGGGGGAAAAGCCAACATTAATCCTAAAGTTAAACAAGTCCACCCCTAGGGCTATTCTAGGTATACAAGAAAAATATATAAGAATATTTATAAGCAAGGTATGGTGGTGCACACCTATAATCCCAGTACTCTGGAGGCTGAGCCAGGAGGATCACTGCAAGTACGAGTCCAGCCTGGGCTACATAGTTCAAGGCCAGCCTGAACTACATAGGGAGACCCTTCTCAAAATACCCCCACAAAAGACAAAAAGAATGTTTATAGCAATACTCTTCATAATTTCAAAATCCTACAAGCATATTGAAAGGTCATCAGTTGGAGAATGTAAAAATAAGCCAAGATACATATAAAACACGGGCCATTATACACAGTCAAAGTCAGTGGACTATCATGCCATGCAGCAATAAGCATGGTTCTTACCAATCCAATACTAAGTTTAAAACACTCCACAAAACATTCATAAGGAGAAAGGAGAGAAAGGAAAGCGCGAGGAGCCCCCCCCAGGAGCCCCCCCCGCGCACGCGCCGCCAGTACCAGCTCACCCTGCCGGACCAGTGAGAGCACCAGCCGCACACCTCCCTGTTTTGCGCCGCCCAGTCATCTGAGTCCTCGGACTTGTTCCAACAAACTATTAAAACATGGTGGATTACTATGAAGTTCTGGTCGTGCAGAGACATGCCTCCCCTGAGGACATCAAGAAGGCATACCGGAAACTGGCCCTAAAGTGCATCCAGATAAAAATCCTAAGGATGAAGAAGCAGAGCTAAAATTCAAACAAGTGGCTGAGGCATATGAGGTGTTATCAGATGCTAAGAAACAGGACATTTTTGACAAGCATGGCAAAGAAGGATTAAATGGTGGTGGAGGAGGTGGAAGTCACTTTGACAGTCCATTTGAGTTTGGCTTCACGTTCTGGAACCCAGATGATGTCTTCAGGGAATTTTTTGGTGGAAGGGACCCATTTTCATTCGACTTCTTCAAAGATCCATTTGAAGACTTTTTTGGAAACCGAAGGGGTCCCCGAGGAAGCAGAAGCCATGGCACAGGCTCCTTTTTCTCTGCCTTTGGTGGATTTCCATCCTTTGGAGGTGGATTTTCTTCATTTGATACAGGATTTACTTTATTCGGTTCCCTAGGTCATGGGGGCCTAATTTCATTTTCGTCCACATTCTTTGGCAGCAGTGGAATGGGTAACTTCAAATCTATATCAACTTCTACTAAAATTGTTAATGGTAGAAAAATCACCACAAAGAGAATTGTCGATAATGGTCAAGAAAGAGTACAGGTTGAAGAAATGGACAGTTAAAGTCCTTAATGATAAATGGTAAGGAGCAGCTGCTACACTTGGATAATGCATGCATTTAACAGAAATGTTAAACTATAACAAGCACCATTTGAGGATTAACAGGAACATTTTTTTGAAGATTTCAAACGAACTCAACTTTCAGTATAACTGTACCTAATCTAAAGTATTTATAAACAGCTCATCGGAGCCCTTCTTTGTCATAGACTTTTGAGTTTATTGTTGGGACCACACAGTAGCACCATTTTTTGTCTTTAAAATTGTTGTAATCTCTGTATGCACTTTGCTTTTTTTATTAAATGTGATCCAAGGTAAGCCTTGACTCTTGAGTAGTGCTAGGAAAGATTGTACTCTTAACACCAGCATGGATCTGCTTTGCATTGTGTTTGAAACGTGAGCCAAGTAGTGTCCGCCCGCTGTGAAGCTAACTTTGCCAGGATGAGCCCTCCACAAAAATAATTTCCTCTTTTTTTTCAATATTTAGTAATGAAAGATACTAATGCATTAATGGTAATACATTTCTGGTTCAATACAAATTTAAGGATGTTTTCTAGTTGTGCATGGATGATGGCAACTTAGTAAAGTTTTGACAGTGTTTAAATGTGTAATGTTAAGCTTAGGTTTATAAAAGCTGGTAAACTGGGTCTTTGTCATTTGCTTTAAAAAAAAGAAGAAAATAAATGTGAATGTGTTTGGTGCATTCTTTCTGAAGTGGGATCTGCAACAAAAAAAAATTCATATAGCAAGGTATATTCCTGCAAAGTTTAAAACAACCAAAAGTAAAAATAGATATGCCTTAATAGATATGCCTTATAAGCACATACAAATGCACTATGACCGCCTACAGGACACAGAGAAATAAAAAGAGTAAGGATAGGATAAAGCAAAGTTGAACATAATATGAAAAAGTTAAAATCTAGACCATAGGTACATGTGTGCTCATTAGACTAGTCTAACTTTGTGTGTGAACTTTTCCATCGTAAAAAGAAAAAATTTTAATGACAAAGAGGAAAGCAAGGAATGACAAATGGAAGACTCAGGATGTAGAATACTCAAGAAATATGAGGCAGAGACATGGGGTAAGGGAGAACTCTATGACTCCATGTCAATCCATGTCAAGTATGCTAGTCAGCTTTTTGTAACAAAATGCCTGAGGTAATAAAACTTATAAAGAGGACATTTCTGTTATGATCACAGCTTCAGAGGTTTGGGTCCATAACCAGCTGGACCAGGGGCCTGGGATTTGGCTCAGTGGTTCTGCTGCCTGCCTTGCAAGTGCAAGGACTCGAGTTTGATCCCCGGTAACAAAAAAAAAAAAAAAAAAAAAAAAAAAACGTACAAAAACCATTGCCCCCTTTTTTTTTTTTTTTTTTTTTTTTTGAGTTTACTGGTACTTTTTAGGTATACAGTACAGTTAACATTCATCATTGGGATCTTATACCTTTACATGACAGATCTTGGTTCTCATTTTTCCCCATACTCCTGCCCTCCCCTTATCCCCTCCACCCTCCCCTATTTACAAAGATTTTGTTTCCATTATTTCCTTTTCTCATATTTTCTTTTCCCTTATTTCCTTTCCCCAATCCTTCCCATTTCTCCTACACCTTTAGCCTTTTTCTTCCTATTTCTCATTAGCAGTTATACAATTTGAATCTTATTTACACTTTTAGTTTTTTATACCAGAGAAACTTTGTAGTATTTATACTTGTCCTATTTATTTCACTTAAAAGTATGGCCTCAATATGCATCCATTTTCCTACAAATGACTCTAGTTTCACATTCTTTATGGCCGAGTTATACTCCGTTTTATAGAAAAACCACACTTTCTTTATCCAGTCTCCAACTGATGGGAAATTGTGCTGTTTCCAAGTTTTAGCTATTACAAACTATGCCACTATAAACATATTGCTGTGGTATGATTCTTTTAATTCTTTTGGAAAGATACCCAGCAGAGGAATGGCTGGGTCAAATGGAACCTCTAATCCTAGTTGTTTGAAGTATCTCCATATTGATTTCCACAGCGGTTGCACCAGTCTGCACTCCCACCAACAACAGAGAAGGGTTCTTTTCTCCCTACAACCCCACCAGCATTTGTTATTGGCTAATTTCTTCATAGCAGTCACTTTTTCTGGGGTGAGGTGGACTCTCAGTGTTGTTTTTATCTGCATCTTTGGAATGACCAGTGATGTTGAACATTTTTCCATATATTTATTTATGCTTTTACTTCTTTGTCTGAGAAATGTCTGTTCATTTCAGATGCCCATTTTTGAATTGGGTCTTTTATATTTTGGGGGGCCTGTTTTTTGAATTTTTTATATATTCTAGGTAGTAGTCCTTCAACTGAGGAGCAGCTGGTAAAATTTTTTTCCCACATTGTAGGTTGTCCCTTAGCTCTGTTGGTGGTTTCTATTACAGTGCAGAAGCTTTTTAATAAGATGAGATCCCAGTTGTTGATTCCTTGTGCTAGCTAGTTCCCATACTACTGAGGATGTGTTCATAAAGTATTTTCTTATGCCAACGTCGAGAGTTCTACCTAACTTATCTTCCAACAAGTTTAGTGTTTCTGTTTTAATATTTAGATCTTTAATCCACTTGGATTTTAGTTTAGTGCATGGTGAAAGATAAGGGTCTAGTTTAATCTTTGGAAGGTTGAAATCCAGTTTTGCCAACATAATTTTTTTTTTGGTACTGGAGATCAAACTCGGGACCTTGCACTTGTGAGGCAGGCTGCAGAACCACAGAGCTAAATCCCCGGCCCTTCAACAGAACTTACTGAAGAGGTTATCTTTCCTCCACTGAGGATGATTGGCTCCTTTGTTAAAGATGAGGTAGCTGAGTGCATCTGGAGTTGTTTCTGTATGTATCTTCCAGTCTATTCAACTGATCCTCATGGACCCAATGGTTTTGAGGTAGTGACGAGGCAGCACATCACAGCAAGAACAGAAGAAGCTGCCTGCCTCATGATAGCTGGGAAATGAAAGAAAGTGATAGGAAGGGGCTGAATTCCCACATCCCATTCTAAAGGCATACCTCCAGTGAACTAAGGCCTCCCAGTAGGTCCACCTCTTCCCAAGGGCACCATTCTGGGGGCTGAGCCTTTAACACATGGGCCTTTGGGGGACATGCCAGATAAAAACCAGCATCACAGATCTAGCCTGGCTTTGCTTTGTTTTGGATGGCTAGTTTATGAGCACCTATTACATAACAAACTAAATAATTACATTAAAGCAAGTCATTCATGGTGCAATAAAGAAATAATTAGAGAAGTAGATGCATGAAGTTATCCTCTCCATAGTTCCTGATGTTGTTTTCTAGGACAGAGCTCAGACTTCATGGACACCTTGATGCTAGCTATCCTGTCCTCTCTTAGCTCTCTCTCCCTGAGGCTGTTTCTCTCATTAGCATCTCTGACCATCTGGCAATACGCTGTGCTCTCTGGCAAAGGCCCAAAGAGGTATCCTTCGGCTTCTAGGTTCCTGATTAAAGATAGTTCAAGTAAATGAAGACCAAAATGTATATTAGATATTGCAAAATAGAAAGAAAAACGTTCAAATGAGAAGGGGAACAGGGACAGGGAGGGAGAAGGAAGAAAAGGTCAAGAAAAAAAAGAATAAAAGGAAAAAGAAAACTTGTAAATAAGGAGGGGAAGAGGGATTGAAGGGAGAGGAGGGGGATGGGAAAAAAAGAAGAATCAAGATATATCAGGTACAGGTACAAATTCCCTATGATGAATGGTGTCATTATGTATATCTAAAACTTATCAATAAAATGTTTTTAAAAGAGCTAGACCAGAAGTTCGGCATGTCACGCAAGTGGTCTGCTTCAACTGTCCAATTTTTAGACCAACCCATAGGGACTTATATTCATCTCTAACGTGTGTCATCATTTAAGGACTCTGAAGCATTTTACCTGGTCACTGAAAAAAGGCACCAGGGATCGAAAAGTTGCTTTCTTTTCTATCTGCAAACTTACGGGCATCTCTCCTCCTTTCCTGAATTGTGCCACAGTCTACCTGAGGCTTACTCAGGGCTCATCCCTCAAGCTGTCCTAGTCATCTCCCTGCCACCTGCCCTGGGGCACCTGGCCATCAGCCAGGCCTATGGCTTCTGTCCTTCCACCCTATCCAAGGTCTTCCCCTGTGTTCAAAAAAATTGTGTACCAATATTTTCAAGCAAATTTTTTAAAAATATATATGGAGCATCTGTGTTCTCTAATATAGTGCAAAGATTCCAGCTTTTCAAGTACTGTGAAGAAGGTGTTGAGAAAATGCTTTACTTTTCTTAAACTTCAACTTCTTCTGCATAAAAGGGGTATTCAAACACCTTTTATAAGATTATAAAGAGTTTAATACTATAAATGAAAAACAGCTTGAAATACTAGATAAAATATTTTGTTTGATCAATATACTAGATGTGCATATGTCCAATATTTTCATTTAAGCATTTATATAATCTGAGTGCTCTTTAAGTTTCACTAGACATTTTATACTTCAAATGCTTACAACATGATTAGAAACTATAGTGAACATCCCAACAAAAAACATGACAAGAACTCCTTAATTCCAGGTTTCATGGTGAAAACAATCCAATGCTTCCATGGTACAAAAGTTACTTGCTTAAAACCAAATTATCAAGAGAATAAATGCTGATATAAAAGCAAAAAGAAAAAAAGTATTCCCCCAGTGATCTAAAGACCTCTCAATAGTCCCCACCTCTTAAAATTCCCACCATCTCCTAGTACACAGTGCCATGCTGAGGAACACATGGGAATATGTAGGACACTTATCATCCAAACTGTAATCCTCTCTCCTTTCCTCAATGATTTCTATCACTTTCACTTCAAACTACTAAACATGGCATGTCCTCAGGTCAGACAGACCTAAGTGTGAATCCCAGCTCTTTCCTTTACTACCTATGTGAACTTGGCCAAGTCATTTAACCTCACTAAGATTCAATTTCCTCGTTTGAGAAATCAGGACAATAGCAAAGTCTATCTTACAGTTCTTAAAAGGATGAGACAGGGCAGGGTGTGGTAGTACAGCACACTCCTGTAATCCAAACAC